CGCACACACACACACACACACACACACACACACACACACAGATCCAAGTATTCCCTGAATCGGGCACACAAAACCAGAAAACCTAACTTCGGATTTGAATACAAAACCAAAACTGAACCTGACCAGGCACCAAATTGGGATGCGACGTTGTCTTACTATACATGGTTTGTTGACCATCACAAAATCTGCCAGTGGGCTAAAACCAGAAACCAGATGTGGCCTTAAGACCACCAGATGCCCAAAGGTTGAGACTAGACATGGCGGCTTTTACAGTGCAGCAGATGGGTCCCGCTTCCGGGGAAACAGTGTTGCTAACCACAAGTGTGCTTCCAGAACCAGAGCAAGCTTGCACCCAGAGCCCCTTACTGGAGGGGGTATTATGCCTTGCTGAACACTCCAGTCTCGTCTATTGGCCCCAGTGGATCAGTATGACCCCCAGATGGTCCTCAAAGAAGAACCCCAGATGGTGAGTGCAAAATCCTCTGGTTGTGCACACTGGGGCCACCTTGCTTTCTGAACCAGTAATTAGAGGGAGGAAACAGAGCAAACACTTATTCTATCCCAACTGAGCAGAAAATGTGTCTGTGACGGGCAGGCCCTGGCACAAACCCCACCTCTGCGAGCAAAGTCACTCGGCAGCTGCTTCCAGAGGTTGGTCCAACACCAAGGAACCCGCCCATTCCATGCAGCCCCCAAGACCCTCCGCAAGCCAAAAGGCTTACTGGAGGAGCCCCAAGGCTGTCCCATCTGGGTCGCCAGAAACTGTAACCAGAAGCCAAACGAGTCTGGGGCTAGTGCTGCCTGTGCCGTTTAACCAACAGACCAACACAGCAGTTGGGTTATAGAATAAGACTTTATTATCAGAGCACTGGTGGTCTGAGAAAGCAGCAGGTTAACACCTCCAAAAACTGCCTTCACATTCTTAGATCAGCCTGGGATATTTAAGGGAAAATCTGGGCATTCCTCCAGAGGCTACAAGATGGTCCGAGGGGTCTGCATAGAGCCTTCCCTCTGGCGATATGGTCCCCTTCATGGTCATCAACCCAGGAGCAGTGGTGACAGTAACCTGGAAAGAATGCTAGACCATAAAGATTGTGATCAGTAAGCATGGGGATATTAATCATAAGTTTCAGGGTAATTTTCTAAAACAGGGAACTGGGATAGGGGACATTCTGAGCTCAAGCCTCATTGGGATGATCTATTGTTAAGCTATAGGTAGGTCAACGAAAGGTGAAGCTGGGTATGCGGCGAGACCTCTACTATGGAGGTGCCGACCTAATACTAAGCTATAGGTCAGGGCGAAATGAGGCCTTTCTGTGGGGGTCCTAACCGGGCCCTGCTTCAAAGCAACATTCTGTCACTGGAAAAAGGTAGACAAATGCCGGCTGTTGTTATTACTTCTCCCAGATTTTTTGAGCACATGTATCATTTTTTTCTCTCCAACATGAGAAGCCATTTAGAGGCCCCTTAAGATGTCCTGTCCCTTAAGCACCATCTGCGTCCCTGGCACACATTCTGCATCCACAGCCCCTCCTAGGTCTGCAGCACAGCCCTGAGCACAGCCCTCTCTCGGATGGACAGTTGGTTCGTCTGCACCGTGCCCTGCTGCTCCCTCCACCACTTTCCACCTGGAGTGACCCCACCTAAGCACATGTGGCCACTCAGGGGGCAGCGAGTGGCATCGGACGGTTGCTGTGCTTGTCTCTGCACAGGGGCGGGTCTCAGCACAGGGGGTGTTGCCGCCTTTTCTTTGGAAATTGAGGGCGGTTGTTTTCACATAGAAAGAGGAATGCTTTTCTGAGGAAGTGGCTGTAACCACAGACCCCAGGTTCCCTGCAGCACGTGGGGGATGCCGTCCACTAAGGTCACACTGCTAAGGTCCCCAAATCCTCAGGGCCACTTCCTGGGTTCTGTCCCAGGGCAGAGCCCATGGACCGGACCTTCCATTTCCTAGAGGTGCTGGGTCAGCTGGGCTGGGGAACACGGACGCCTGGGCAGATGGGGGTTCAGGCCAAGACTCATAAAGCACATGGCCTTGGTGCCCAGAGGGATGGCAGACACCGACAGCCTGCTTCTCTTCTCCTTGAACAACAGTGACCACTGGGCTGGGTCTCCCCCTGGGCTTGAGATCCGGGTCTGGAGAGAGCCGTAGGTCTGTGCCCTGGGTGAGGCTGAGCCCCACCTGTACAGGAGGACACGACAAACGGAGGGGCAGACCCCTCCCCTCTCTATCAGACCTTACCTGGCTGACCCAGCACCGGGAGGAAGCCCCTTCCCAATGACCCCAGCCCTTCCTGAGAGCCCGCTTGGTGCTGTGGCCTCAGCAGTCATTCCCTGGGCTGTGACCCTGAGAAGCCTCAGGTCTTCCCCTCCACATCCCTGTTCACTTATCCATCTCCTCCTCACAGGGCTGGCCTCTCCCCTGGGAAGTCATGATGGTATGACTCAATGTTGTCAGGGAAAGAAGCTACGAGGCCACCTTCCCTATCACAGTGCCTGTGTTCTGTGCCATAAACGGACCCAGGGACGCCCACCAGGGTCTAGACGGGAATCCAGCCACCAGCCCAGATCCATCTGGTTCTTTGCAAACTCAACAATCCAATAAGTCCTGCTCACCATTTGAACAACATAACTGTTTAGTGGATTTGCTTCTGTACGAGCAGGTGTAGGGCGTTCAGTTTAGAAATAAACAGAATCGGCTGGAAGTTGGGGGAGTGTGCAGAGGGCAGCCCAGGGTCACAGGACACAGAGGGGCGCAGAGACAAGGGCATCGTGCCTGAGCAAGGTGCCACCTGCCCTGGACAGCATAAGGGGCTCCGACTGAGTGTCCTTCCAATGTGCCACTCACCTCTGTGTGCACCGCCCGCATAATAAACGAAGTTGTCAGGGGACTTTTGTGGTTCCCATTTTGCATGTGAGAAACCAAAGTGTTTGCATGAGGAAAAGTGTGGTTTGGGAGTAGTCAGCCTGTTAGGACCAGAAGCCAAACCAATAAGTTTCCTTGCCTATATTCTGTCTATCTATGGGTCTATCTAAGTTCCTATCTATCTATCTATCATCTATCTATCTATCTATCTATCTATCTATCTATCTATCTATGTAACTTCCAATCTATGTATCTAAGTATCTATGTATGCATTTATGTAACTATGTAAGTATCTATATATCTAATTATCTAAATAACTGTACCAATATCTGTATCTATGTATCTAAGTATATGTCTAAGTGTGTATGTATTTATCTATATCTCTATCTACCTATCACCTCTCTATTTTATCTCTTTATCTATCTACTGTGAATTAATACTATGTGGGTTTCATCTGGACATGGGTTCAGCTGGTTATGAAATATCTCACTAGAAACGCCTTCCAGAAACCAAGTCGTCTCTGCACCAAAATAGGGGAAGCTAGAATTGGGCCTGGGGCAGCCTGCTTCCCTTCCTGTGAGGCCACAGAAATGAGCCTCGTGACGTGGCCCCTGAAAACACATCTTACTTCCTGACCTGCAGGGCCCTGTCCTCCCATCCCCAGGACAAGGACAAAGCAGACGGCGAGATGCTGGCCATGTCGTCCAATTCCACCACCCTCCTGGGCCTCAGTGAGTGGGAACATGGGGAGGACCACAGGGACGGAGGCGGTGGGAGACTCTGGGTGGGGTCCAGGCCCCGCCTCATTCCAGCCTCTAGTCCAGGACCTGCGGGGCCTCAGGGAGGGAGTCAGCCCTCAGTCCCTGCCTGCTCTGTGTCACCTTTCCATTAAGCCGACCATGGAGGGACCATGGTCTCTAACACGTCCTAGACACTGGGATAGAGACAGGTCAGATACAGAAAGGCCTGCTGGGTGGGTCCGGTTGGGAGGTCACCTGGGAGCTTGACTGGAACCTGCTATGGGGAGAGGAAGCTACCCACTGGGAGTCACGTTGATAAAGGTGCTGGGCGTGTTTCTCAATGGGCTTCTCTTCCAGTGCTCTGCCTGGGCCAGGTGATCCACATGCAAAGCGGTGAGTCATTTCTACCCGATTCCTAACCCTTCCCACCCCAAGGGCTGCTCATGTGGATTCCAGGAGGGATCTAAACCCCAGTTCTCTCAGATGAAGGTCACTCCTCAGTCTCTCCTGACAGCTGCAAACACCCACAGGACGTCACCACTGATTTTCAGACTCCTGAGACCCAACAGATCTGAAACTGGACCCCTGACACTCACTCACTCCAAACTGATTCATCACTGCCCTCCTCTCGGTGAATGTGGTTGGTCCAGGACTAGACAACAGTCATCCTTGATCCCCCTTGTCTCATCCGTGTATTTACTCCATTGCAGAACTCCACTGATTAAACCCCACGTGTCCTCATATGTGCCCACATCCCCACTGGGCACCGTCTCCCCAATCTGAGCTCCAACATCTCTCACCCCCACAGCAGCTACTGGGGCCTCCAGGGCCTCTTCCTGCCCGCTCTGCCATATTCTCTCCTGCAGGTGGACTTAGAAAACACCAATCTGATGATTTTACTTCCCAGCTGAAACCCTTCACTGGTTGAATTGAGGTTGCATCAAATCCCTTATCAAAGTATTTCCTTTGGCCTTGTCCCTCTCTGGCCATGTCCTGCCCTACTCTGTCTGATGCCCTTATCACCACACATGTTTTGGTTTTCTTTCAGTTTCTGAAACGTGCTGCACTCACCATGCACTCAGGACCATCTCACAGCTGAGTTCTCCACCACCCACACCCCGGACTCCCCCGATCTGCTCAGCCGAACTGCTTGCTACTCGTCCATCACATCCCAGCTCAGACACCTGTTCCCTAGGGGTCCCCCTGACTTCCCAGATGGGGAAGGGTCTCCTTATTATGTGCTCTCCTTATACCTGTGGGCACTCATCACATCTCTGTCTGTATCAATCCTCCCTCATCACTCCATGTTATCCCCCAACATCACTGCATAGAATACAGAGTGTCTGGCAGCTTATCTCTCTCGCATGCATGGAGATGCAGCCTCTGAGGAGTTTGGCCAAAGACAGTGGGGCAGCCCCAGTGTGTCACCGGGGTTGCAGACTTTCTCATTCTGCTCCACAGCTTGGTTCATGGCCACCAGCACTAAGGTCGCCTCTTTATTTATATATTTATTTATTTATTTATTCATTTATTTATTTTTAAGATTTATTTATTTATTTTTTAATTGGGGGATTGGGGGATGGGAACAGTGCTTGGGAATTGTGGGAAAAGGAACAGACAAGTTGCTGTCCTTTTGTTCTTCAGTCTAGTTGTGGAGGACGTTGCTTCACTGCCCAAGTTGGCCCCATCATTGCTCTCTTCCCGGGTGAGACAGATCAGTCGCCGGCTTCTGGACGGCTGCTCACAATGGCTGCTGGCCGCTCACGCTGGCTGCTGGCCGCTCACACTGGCTGCTGGCTACACACAGTAGCCCATGGCAACCCACTGCAGCAGAGGTTACAGCCTAAGCTGTTGCTGGCGACTCACGGCAGCCCAGCTCCTGGTTGAGCTGTTGTTCAGCATCTTAGCTGTAGAGGGCAATGTCACTGACCCTCATATGTGGGATCCAAACCGGGGCCCTCTGGCATCCCAAAGCAGCTCTTAACCACCGCACCACTCGGCAGGCCTGACAGGAGCTTTTCTTTAAATTTAATTATTTTTTATTATGAAATACACATTTTTTAGAAATAGTTTCAGCTGTACAACACAGTGTAATAGTTATACTTTTTACTCCTCGAAGTGACAACCCCCTCCCCCAATCCGCTGCCCCATTTCCCCCCAATATCATACATATCTATTAGAAATCCCTTGACTCCTCTCCCACACTATACTCCA